TTGAACTTGTCTGTCTTCAAGGTAGCTCCTTATCAACTTTAAGATCTGAATTGGGCAGTTTGATTGAATCTAATTCTTTTTGTTACATCAGGAAACCAGACATTATCGAAGGCTTCCTTTATGTCTATAGATATTACTCTTGAGTGATTGTCTTCTCTCTCTGTTCTTTTTCAGCACTTTCAGGAGATCTGCTACTGCCTGTTCTGTAGATATTCTTTCACGGAAGCCATACTGTTTTTAATTAATTACTGAACTTTTATTCAGGAAATAATTTAGCCTCATTAGAATGATCTTTTCTAGAACTAAATGTGGGAAGGAGACTTACCGGGCGGTTGGAGGTCGGATCCGAGGGATTTTTTCCCCTTTTTGTGAAACAGAGCGATCTCTGCCAGCTTCATATCTTTCGGAAAGTGTCCTACTTTCCAGCATGCTTTGCAAACTGAGTGGATCAGCTCTGGAAACTCATTATGCAATGCCTTGAGTATTATATTGTCTAGGCCATCCGGCCCCGGTGCCTTTTTTCCTTGCCAAACCATTTATGATTAAGTCTACCTCCTCTATTATTGGTGGGAAGATACTTCGGTCTTAGTGAGAGATATTCTGGCTGCATGCGTCCGCTTTTTGAGGCTACTCTCTCGTAAGCTATTATTTCACTCGGCCGTACTTTAGGCCCTTGATAGTTTCAGACTATTAACGTTAAGGGGCCAACTCTGTTAGAATTTTGATAGCTTCGGCTATACATCTTTAGTTTAGATTAAATTCTTAGTCTCTTAAGTTCAAGCCCAAGTGTCGGCTTTATTGTACAACTCCAAGACGGAGTTCTGTCAAATCTTACTTTGAATTATAAAGTGTTATTTTACCCTTCCATCTTGTTGTTTCCTGTCACATGAACTCAAGCGATTATTCCCTTACTAGTTCTTCAGATTCTTCACTTTCAACAGTAACATAGAATTACCCAGTGAGGAACTCTACAAGTTAAGGATCTACTGTACTTGCTCAGAATAATATAGTTTTGAATGCCAAAATAACACTATCTGTTGTCTTAAATTCTTTAAGTATTTGAAATTTCAAAGAAATAAAGCTTGAACTTACTGAGTATTGAGTTTCAGGTACAATAGTCTCATAGTTGTTCATCATTCATTTGCTCGGAAGATACACACAAAATTGAGTAAACATGCAAGTAAAACACTGATTTAGTAGTGAATCATTTAAATATTTTATTTTATCTTCAGCTTAAAATATAACAGAACTCAGTCTTGCATTAGCATCAATCTTAAAGGAATGCATGTATTTCGAAAGAATCTGTTGCAAGACTATCTATATAAAAATGTAAAATTCCTATGGCAGGTTTCCATTATTGTTTTTAGCTACTTTTAATATCAGTCAACTTTCTATTACCGTTTTTGGTTGCTATTAGTTATGAACAAAATTAAGTTTTAATTAGTTCTTCAGTTCAATGAATAGTTAGGGAAGAGACATAAAAGTATTAGTTAGCAAAGAAACATAAGAAAGACATTTGCCGGCAGCAGCAGCACTTCAGAAGTAATCTTCTGATTAACTGTGGCACGTCTGTTATTTATAGGTGGTCTGACCTTTCATGCAATTTTTTATTTTACATATTTAGGGACAAAAAATGGAAACCCGCTGAGGATAAAATTATAATTAATTTCTCGGCTTAAGTATAAGCAATACATTAAAAGTTGGTTTAAATTAATTAAAAGAAGGTAAACACCTGGATGCTATGGAGACGAACCTTTTTATAAAGTAAAATATTTGCTTGTTAAAAGTAATTCACAATTTTACTTCGTGACTATGTATATGTCGAGAATTTGTGTAGGTGTATGTAATGCACTTATTTAAACAACATTAGAGTGAAAAGGCATTCTTTCAGTTTCTGAACTTACAATTTACTTATTAAATTTCTATGCTTTACGTGCAGCAATTGTTTAATTAAAATTCCCTGGTTATAAAAGATATCTTTGTTTGTAATATTTTTCTTTAATAGTCTGTTATGCTTTAATTAAGAATCATCGTAATTCTTTTAAATACTTTTTAGTATGGGAAAGTTTGTGTGAGCAGATCGGTCGGAGGATGAGATATTTGCCTAGTTTTACCACAACAGCTTATAATATTCAATAATAAAGGAATGTTTTCTGTCTATTAAATTATTAAATAAAAAAATAGATTTGAAGGTCTTATTAATTTGCTTATATTGCTTATGCAAGCTAATGCATTCAATAAATGTGCTTGTAAATGACAGCAAAGGTCTTTTGTTAATTTTATTCTTTTCAGAGGAACCTGCAAGACAGTGGTCTCAAAACTGCAAAAGGCCAGGCCAGAATAATATTTTAAATGAAAATTTTTATTCAGCAAAATTCAAAATATTTTAACCAAGTTTTAAATTTATCTTACATAACATTTGTCAAAACGTACATAAACAATAATGCAAAGAAACAAATTCAAAATATATTTTCTATCTGAGATCTAAAGTTTAACACCTGCAAGGTTTTTTTTTTTTTCTATTGGTTACACTTTGTAATTCAAACATATTACAGCTAAATATTCAGTTTTCAGACTGTCGCTTGTTTTAAGTAATTCTAATATGTTTACTGAATCATTATATAACATAGCTTAAACTAAATTAAAAATAAACAAATCATAAAAACTTTCGAAGTTTCGAAGGAAACTTTTCAAATGGGGCAAAATAATAAATAATGACAATCGAATCACTTTCTTATTAATTTTTTCCGACAGATAAGCAAAAATACGTATGTTTTATGTAAATAGTTTTAAATTTGTTTATTTCTCGTTAAACCTTGGCACTTGATGCTGTTTCGATCATGATAAAGTCTGTAGCTATGGATAGAAATTCATAGAAATTATCTTCACATAATGTAAATGCTCCTTGTTCATTCGTGTTATTTTATTAATTTTACACTGAAATCTGTTCGCCTGCAAATGTATTCCTCCAAAAAAGCAGTTTTTCTTAAGGAAAAAATTTGTATCTGAACATACTTTTTTTTCACAAGTACTTTAATCAAATCTACATCTTCAAATCTTTGTATAAGATTTATATCACACTGTAAATTAATTAGCTCCATTTTCTAGATTTTCAGGAGTGTTATTGAGGATTCAGGAATGTTATTTTCAGGACTATTTCAGGAGTGTTATTTTTCAGGACCGTCATGTACATTTTCAATAATAACGAAAATAATGTAAATTTTAATTAAAAAAATAAAATCTTGAAATCTTTGAGACACTGTATTTCCAACAAATATATAATTTAAATGTATGTATAATTTAAGTGGATAATATCTACCACCATCCAGGAATTTATTAGAATAAATATATAAATGGCTGCAATGAATATATGTTTCATCAAGGCTACAATGAATATATAAATACCATAAAGATTTTTAAATTTGAATTTACCATAAATAAATTTGAATACAACAAATTTGAATTTACCATAAATAAATTTGAATACCACAAATTTGAATTTGCCATATAATTAACTTTTGAAGATAAAATTAAAGTCCATATATAGAAAGTGAAGTAAGAATCAAAAATGTGTATTCACGGATAGTATCAAATGGCTCTAGGGGTCGCATGCGACCCACAAGCCTCCAGTTTGAAACCACTGCTAGAAGCAATGGCAGAAAAAAATCCAAGCCAAACTGCCAGAACTAATCGTGGATCCGCATAAATCACAAAGACAACTTAGAAATCGGAAATCCTATTTTGTAAGGAAATTCTTGCGAAAATCAAAGCTTTCTATTCAGGAAGTGATATACGTCAACTAAGCTTAAATAATCCATGACAATCAGGAAGTCTGGTTTTCCCGATATTGCAGTTCAAATACGTCTAAAACGAATATTTGCAAAAGCGTCAAGTACTGCTGAGTTGCATTTTTTCTTTGGCAGTTTCTCATCCCAATCTTTTTTCACATCACAGAGTAAGCAACTTTTTTCGCCGTCAAACTGGTTCGCTAGCTACGCAATAAGTATACTGAATACTGACACTTCGTCATGTGTAGCGTTCAGGCACATTGCACCGCAGAGCAAACAATGGAAATTCGGTCCACTTGATTGCTTACAACGGGAGTGACGTTTGGGCAAGATTACTATTAATTTGTTTTATTGAATAATACAAATAACGGTTACACATGTATTTCCGTCGATTTGTTTTCGGTGAATGATAATGTTAGGGTAGAAATTCCATATGCTTCCTTATCGGTACGATAGTAAGACTGCAAAATCATCCAAGAACGCTAATCTGCATTTAAAAGGTATCAATTACTGGGTTCATAAATCTAATACCACATTTTTTATTTCTATTTATACATAAATGCTCTCAATGGAAATTTACATACATAGATGTTTAAACCAGATAAAAAATAATTTAAACATTTGAACATGAAATATATATTGACTGTATGCTGTTTTTTTTTTTTTTTTTTTTTTTTTTTTTTTTTTTTTTTTGCTAACATTACATTACCTTAAATCGAAAAAAAAACGGTTCATTAAGGTTATCATCATAATGATACATTTTCCTAATTTTAATGTACCAGAAATCCTTTTACCTCCCTCCATAAACCCTTACTATTTTTATGCAGAGAGGCGAAACGTGTCATAAATACATGTGTTCGCCATCTGCTTCAACAAATACAATAAATAAACACTTTTGTATAATGAATATTCTCTAAAATTAAACACAAATGCTTTACGTTGCACCAACGCATAAAGAGTTTAACTCTTGGCACTGTTAATTTCGAATAAGTATCATTCAGAAAAAAAAAAAAAGATAGAATTGGGGATTTTGGTAAAAGATTGCTCAACAGTTTACTGATCATTGTAAAATGTTTATCTCTTCATCGTTCAATAGGCCAAAACCTATTCTTCAAATGAAGAACTGAAGTGAACTGGATTTGATTATAGCAAAACAAACGAATTTTTAAATGTTTCGGAAACATTTGATAGTATTCTACTCTTTTCTTGCAGGCAACTTCAAGTATATCGGATTACAATGCACAAGAATTTGTTCACAGCTTTATTGATGAATGCTCTTGCATGTATCATCTTCAAAAGTTTTGTCATTTTGGATGAGCTGAATCATTCGAGTGACAGACGCACCGTTCTGGAAAACAACGGAGTAAGTATAAAAAAGTTCTGTTTTTTATTAAGTATACAGAATGCATAAATGCTTCAGTTTCTATTTAACGCAAATTTAAAAGATCCATTTTGAAGTTTTCGGCCCACAAAAAATGTTATTACAGTTTAATGATTCAATAAAGAGTTTAATACTAAAACGTTTAAGAGAAAAAAAATTAAAACTTAAAAAATGTAAAGCATAATGTTACAAAAACTTCTGTACTAGTTCATGACACATAATGTTAGAAATATGCTATATTAATTACCACAGAGCTGAAAATATTAAAAAAAACCATTAGTTTGATATATTGTAGATTAAATGTACTTAAGTCTAATTCCTGTTGTATCTGATTAATAAATATTTAATTCATATAAATTAAAATTTATATTTTTAAAAAAAAAAATAATTATATAGATTTAATTCATTAACCAGCACGTTTATTGCTTTCAGATTTCTCAGCTTGGAATCAATAATAGATTAATTAAATTCGGAAGATAAATTATTTGTTCAATGACAACATTATAGTAATCCGCTATTGACGACAGCATGCAGGAAATAAATATTTTATGTTTCGCCAACGGCAACACTTTCCAGTGGTTGCTTCTAAATTTTTTCCATTCCTTTCGCCATCGCTTTCCAAGATATAATCATATCTACGGATTTATTTTGCCTGGACATGATTTTCTTTGTTAAAGGAAACAATACACCACTTTCGAGGTTTAATACTATGTCTGATGTTAATTTGTAAATGGCAAGTGCTATTTCTTCCTTTCAAGTAGTATTTAAGGATTTCATTCAAATGAAGTAAAATGTGCCCTTTAATGTTTTTAAACAACACCTCCACATATAAGTTATAGTAAGAAAAGGTATAAAGCTTTAAAAGCCTAATGAATCCCTCTTTGATGTACATAAATATGCGTATATATATTCTATATATATATATATATAGAGAGAGAGAGAGAGATATAGATATAGATATAGATATATAAATAGATAGATATATATTAAATAATTTGGCCTATTTTATGTATATAAGCTTGTGAAATTTTGCATCTTTCAATACATTAAGTTATACAATAATATCACATTTGTTTATGTGCCTTAAAGTCATATTTTTAATTGAATAGCCTCTTTGTATAGCATATTACTTTAAAAAATTTTTTGTAAATAATTTCGTGTCAGGAAATTTACTTCGTTAGATTGAAAATTAATAAATTAGTAATTTAAATCCATTTTTTACATCTCAGAGTTTTGCAAATTTCAGAGAATTCATTCAGAGTTGCGAAGGGGACGAAACGCGATCATTCCCTAACCCCTTCGAGCCGGGTAGCGAAAACGCGCGCTTATCGCTGAGGCCGGCAGTGTCTTACGCGAGCGTCTCTCCAGGGCCGGGGGCTTTTTTGCTACTAAGCCTAAATCCATGAAATTTCCGAAGTATCAACGCATTGTTTAATAATGCTCTATAGAGTATTTAAACGGCTTATGATTTTAAGATTATAAATATTATAATATATATACTTTAATTACCTTATTTCTTGTTAAATGCATATTTTACACATTTATTTTAATTACTCACCATTTTATGAATTTTAACATTTATACATCTGAAAACTAAATATATTACTTAAAATTCTCTTTTCGTATGAAAAATTTGAAAACAGGGATCTACACACAGTCCTACGTTACATTCCTTGCATCGTAATAACTCATTTGCCGTTTTGGAGATTTTTTCCGGAATGTGAACAAACGAGCATCGTCGTTTCATTTTCTTATCAATCTCTTCTGAACAAAGTTTTAGAAAATGTCTTTCAGTTAATCTTTCAGAATCAATATCAGAATATCAGAATTTCAGAATCAATATCTGAAATATTTGCATCATTTCTGCTATTTCATGCTCTGTTTAAACATTTCGACGCTTCGACATTGCAACGGTAAAAACAAAGAATTCACGTCTAACAAGATCTAATTATTTTCTAAAAACTGAACGAAAACGAAATACCCAACGCTTTAGAGTAAAAAACTTCTCTACTTACAGTAAACAACTACCACGTGCGAATAAAGTGCGATTTAAAGAGACGTCATAAATCACGCCATTCGGAAACATTTATTTCCCCGTTTGTTTATATAATCAAAAACACGTGTATGTGAGTCATGCTTCTCTCATTTCGAGTAGAAGGTGTAATTTACATGTATCTTAAACCATATGGACATACAGTGCCATCTTGCTGCAGAAATTATAGTTTGAAAAACGTTCCAAAGTACTGGCACAAATACGTGACAGTCGGTAGAGAAAGGAACAATCCTCTGGCACGCCTGCGTGTCGGCCGGTAGGTAAGTGCGTTCGTTGCTGGCACGTATACGTGACAGTCGGCGCGAAGGGGCTAATTATTGTGGATTTTGTTGGAGAAAGCTAATTCTCCTTCATAATTCAGCTATTTTCACAACATTAACAATAATTAAATTACATTCTGTTTTAATATGTTTTATTTTATTTTAATTTGTACATTCGTAGTTTTGTACGTGCTTGTAGATTCGTAGTTTTGTACGTACGTATTTTATTTTGTTTTCTCCGGTTAGAAACTACTACTAGGACTTTCTCCAGTTATTTCAATAGTTTAATCTCAGTCTTCTGAATTTATTTTTTATAGAGTCAATTTAGAATGTTTTTTGTACTCCCTTTCCTGGAATAATTATAAATAAAAAAGTTAAAAATAATTATTTATATATATATAGAGAGAGAGAGAGAGATCAAAAGTGCTTCATCGTACTACGTTTAGTGCAAAATATTTTTGTTGCAGTAGAAAAGACACCAGTATTTAATTGCCCTCGAAAGCAATAAAGTTTTGTTCAAAATCTACGCCAAGCAAATGCTACCTTTGTACTTAATTTTAAAATTACATTCACATATACATACACATACATATAAAGATGGAGGATGTGAGATATTAGGTATATGTAGTGGAAGGACAGTTGGTTAATACAGCATATGGTAATTTTATATACATACTATGATGTTTTAATAATTTAGACCCTTTTGGCGTTATGTGTAGTGAATGATAGAACAGTGAGAATCTTTCGTCATTACGTGACCAATATTTCAGTAATAAGAGAGTAGTCAATCTTCAGCATGTAAGTAAGAAAAAAAGTGTGGAGGAAAAGCATACTGAATATGCATATTAAATAAAAGAAAAAATAAAACTCTCTGAAACTTTTTTAACTCTGCCATCCGTATTTTACCATCCGTACTCTGCTCCCTATTTTACGTAACTACCATTGAGTGAAGGTATTATTTACCGTCACGATTGTAAAGTATTTATTTATTTTATCGAACCATTATTTTATGTTCAGTGTCTTTACTGCTATTCTCCTTTTTCGTTTTCCTGCCAGAAGAATTTCTTTCCTAATTTTTAATTCATGCGTATTTAAATGAGGTAGAAAGAGATAGCATTTAAAGGAATATTTTAGATTGTTTAGGCCTCCTGCTGAAGGCCACGTTGTTAGTTGAAATCTCAAGATAATAGCCTGTCTGTATCTGTAGTGTTGTTTTGTTCTTGCTAATAATGCTTACCATACTGGTATAGATTTGAGCCAACTTGCGAGCTATTCATTTCTGTGTACCCTTTGGGTAACTTAAGCTCTAACTTAATTTTAATTTGAATTCATTCATTACTTTTAATTTGGAGTTACGCCATAAATGCTGCCTCATTTTGTAAGCACAAGATGTGTATTCAGTTAAATCTCTGAGTTTTTAATAAAAGGTTCTTTTACACTCTTCATACGCTCTCTATTTTCTTACGGGACGTAGCCATAAGTTGCTTAGATAAGATGTCAGATTTGATGCAACTTTTGTTTATCTACTAGAGTCTAATATTTTCTTATTTTTTATTTTAATTTGCTATTAGTCTTCTTTATAATTCTGCTTTAAACAACCATTTGTATTTCTTTACGCTTCTTTGGAACCATATTTTAGTGTCATTATTCAGTTTTGTTTTTACAATTTCTTGTTCGTTTGCAATATCCTCTCGGAACGTGTAACAAGCACATTTTTTACATTGTTTAAATTAAGTAAAATGCAATTTCCTTTCTTATGATCCTACAGTAATCTTCCAAACCGAGTTCAATTTGCTCTTCATGGATCGAGCTGATAAGACTATTGGACACTAGTAATTGAACCGGTTCTAATCCAGTGAACAGACCGGTTGCATGGGTTTTCTGTGATTATACCATATGTAACATTAATGTGGGCTAGCCCAATTTTCTTTAAGAAATCTTCCACGAAGCTATTAATTCCCTGTAGGCAGGTAGAATTTGTATGCTTTGCCATAAACAAATAATCCACTCTATTCGAAATAAAGTGAATATCTTTTATTTATGTCATAAACTGTGTAACTCTTTATGAATTAATTAAATTTAGGCTAACAACAATTTTTCCTTTTTTAAATTTATTCTCGTAAGTTCATTTTTCTATGTTTTTTTATATTTTTGATGATTATTTTCACCTACATATTTAACTTTGTTTCAGTTCTATGTGGACGCATTTTGACATTTTTTCTTTCAATTTTCAATCCATTTATAAAGCACAATCCTTTATTCATTTATGGCACTATTGCAAACTACCTAATTCAGCATCTTGCCATTTAGTTTCACCGATGGTAAAGTGGATGCTTTCAGTAAAACTTTCATATAAACCATTCCTTTCTTTAAACTTTGATTTAATTTCCATTTATATTGAAAACACACAGCAAAATATGTAATCATATAAATCTTTCAATGTTTGAGCAGAGAAGTCTTTTGATTATATATTATCAATTAAAGTTTCAACTTAAATTCCCGAACAATTTCCTTTTACTGCGTTTAAATCGAGTATCATTTTCGCATACTAAGTTTGCTTTGCAGAAAAGAACTAAAATTAATATACGAACTGAACAAAACAAATGGTCAGTAACCTGCACAGAATAGCTGCTTCGGGCACCATTATGCAAACATCACTAAAGAGTTAC